ACACACACGCACTGAAGGCAACACAGCTGTAGACTCCAGAAGTTTTCCTGCATTTGCATGCTTTTAAAATCAAATTTGCATGCTGGCTTACAGCTAACCATAGGAACACCAATTTGTTTCCAGCGTCCAACCAATTTTCTTACAGCAGCCAGTGCTCACCCCAGCTCCACCCCAGCCCCACTCCGGCCTTGTCCCCGGCCCCTCCTGCCCCCACCTCCAGGGTGCTGATGTGCTGCAAGATGGCGCTCCCCTCCCCCTGCTTCCTGGCTGAGGCCTGAAGATGCTGGACAGTGGCGGAAAGTAGGGTGCTGGCCATGTTGCAGCAGAAGGCATCTGAGCCGACCAGGAACTCCCTGTGGGAAGATCAGGATGAGGAGGCCTTGACTCGGGGCTTCATCAGCTCTACTGACCCTCCACCCCACAGCAAACAGCTCAGTGGCTCCTTCCTCTATTATTCTCTCCATCCAAGCCCTCTGCAGCCCTCATCATGCCTTGTTCCCCAATCTTCCAGCTGTGATAGGAAGTGCCCTTGCCCCAGCCCTGACCTCCCTCCTCTTTGGTTCAGCCTCCTAAAGGGTAGGGCATTCCAGGTGTCAACATGCATAGTCTGGCTAATGCAACACAGACTCCCTGCTAAATCTAGGTTCCCACAACATCAAACAATGAGTCCCAAGTCCTGCAATGGTTCAGAGAAAATCTAATGAAAGGAAAAGTGGGTGAGGAAGGACCTGGGGGACTAACATGGGGGCAGCAGGGACTCACCAGGGCTGTTTCTCCAGCCAGTCACCCAGGAGATGCCGCAGGTGTTGGGGAAAGTCGACGTAGAGCCGCTGCAGTTTTTCTGGGGGTATCTGGGAAACCAACCCCCACAGAGACATGATCTGGGGTTTGGAGGGCATCTGGAGGAAAGGAACAGGCCACTCTGAGAAGTGCCCAAGGAATGTGACCTACGTCCTGGGTCAGCCAGGGATGTCCTGTAGATAGCTCTCCCAGAGACATCCCCACCATCACTCACAGCCAGACCACCTCAAACCGGGGACATTTTTGGTCAGTGTCTGAGACAAGGTGAACCCTTCAATGGTAGACACAGGGCAATGGAGCTGTAGGCAGAGGAGTGGGGAGACAGGAGAGATTGGGTATTAGGGAAAGCTCTCTGAGAGGAGGCAGAGGACTTAGGTTGCAGCTCTAGACCTGGCTCTGGTTCTGTGGGCAAGGAACTTCCTCTCCGTGGGCCTCAATCTTCTCATCTATAAAATATGATGCTTGGATAAGGGCAGAACTTTCCAAACTCTTTAAAGGAATAGTTTTAATATGTGTAATCCGAATTATATAACAGGTATAAAATCAGAGTTTTTGGGGTTAATCCTCACTTGAGGACATTTTTCCCCCCATTGATTTTTAGAGAGTGGAAGGGAGAGAAAGAGACACAGAGAGAGAAACATCAGTGTGAGAGAGACACATCAATTGGTAGACTTTGCCTTCACACATGCCCTGACTAGGGCCATGCCCTTGACCAGAATCAAACCCGGGACCCTCAGTCTACAGGTCGACGCTCTTTCCACTGAGCCAAACTGGCAAGGGCAAAATTGGAGTTTTGAAAGCAAGTGTGGTAGGCCTGGAACTCTACTGCTTCTTCCTGCCTCTCCCCACCTCCTGACCCCAAATATGACCCTGAGAAACCCTTCAAAATTCCAGGGTTCCATGAGATAATTTGAAAACTAGCCAACAGGATAATGAAGAAGAGGATGGTGGAGCAATAATAGCTGCCAATTACTAAGCACTCACTATATATGAGGCATTGCTCATTATCTCATTAGAACCTCACAACAATTTTTAAAATATATAATTATCTCCTTTCATAGATGAAGAACCCATTCTCTTATATGCATACTAGAGGCCCGGTGCACAAAACTGTGCACTCGGGGGGAGGGGTCCCTCAGCCTGGCCTGCACCCTCTTGCAGTCCAGAGCCCTCAGGGGATGTCTGACTGATGGGCTTAGGCCTGGGGAGTGGGCCTAAGCCTGTCAGTCGGACATCATTAGCGTTGCTTTGGAGGCAGAAGAGACTCCCGTCACTGCTGCTGCACTTGCCAGCCATGAGCCCGGCTTCTGGCTGAGCAGTGCTCCCCTTGTGGGAGCGCACTGACCACCAGTGGGCAGCTCCTGCATTGAGTGTCTGTCCCCTGGTGGTCAGTGCACATCACAGCAAGTGGTCGTTCTGCCCGTTTGGTCAATTTGCATATTAGCCTTTTATTATATAGGAATAGAGGGCCAGTGCACGAAATTTATGTGGGGAGGGGGTAGGGTCCTTCAACCCAGCCTGCACCCTCTCGCAATCCGGGACCCCTCAGAGGATGTCTGACTGCTGGTCCAACTGCCATTTAGGCCCGATCCTGCAGGGATCCCTGTGGGATCGGGCCTAAACCAGCAGTTGGACATCCCTCTCGCAATCTGGGACCACTGGCTCCTAACCACTCACCTGCCTTCCTGATTGCCCCTAACCGCCTGCCTGCCTGCCTGATCTCCCCTAACTGACTCTGCCTGCCTGCCTGATTGCCCCTAACCGCCTCTGCCTCGGCCCCCACTGCCGTGGCTTTTTCCAGAAGGACGTCTGGAATGATGTCCAGAAGGTTGTTCAGCTGTCTGGTCTAATTAGCATATTATGCTTTTATTACTATAGATATGCATAGTCCATGGACAGACAATAGTGTGGGGAAGGTCTGGGGAGGGGGTGGGAGCAGGGTTGAGGGGGTCAATGGGCAGAAAAAAAAAGGGGACATCTGTAATACTTTCAACAATAAAGATAATTTAAAAAAGAAAGAAACCAAGTCTCAAGGAGGTTCTCTAACTGTCCAAGGCCACTCAGCAAGCACATTTGGAATCAGTATTTAAATCCAAGTGGGGATTAACTATCACACTGTACTATTAGGATCCCTTCCAGATCCAAATCCCATCATCCTGAGGGGCAGGGCTGAGGGAGGAAGGTTGAAGAAGGGGAGATGGAGCAAAGAGGAAAGTAGAGAGAACTCAGGGAGAAAGTGGGAGAATGGAGAAAAGTGGGGTTGATAAGCCTGGAATAAAGGGTTTAAAAGAGTGGGAGAGGATGCTAGAACCTTGGCTAGAAGGCCAAGGACAGAGAAGAAAAGAGGAAAGGAGGAGATGAGAGAAGTAGGGGAGATGTTTGTGGCCCCTTTTTGAGTGGGCTGCAGGGTAGGGTAAGCATACCCGTAGTTTCCCAGGGGTCTCTCAGTTCATGTTTTTGTAATGTTCTTGTCCCAGAGATGAGGGAGAAGAAGGGGATGGAAACTCCCTGGGTCTCCCCCAGCTCAGTAACCCCAAATCTTCCTGTTGTGCTTTTAGCGTCTCCCTTCTCCCAGGACTCCCCAAGAGATAGAGAGCAGAGGAGCCTCTTCTCTGGAGATTCCTGCTTCAAGACCCTCCCCCCAACCCCAGTCCCTCTCCTCCCCCAGCTCTATTTTCCCAAAAGTATAATCCTCTTGCCCTCCTATCCCTAAGCCCTCCACACCCTCCTCTCTTTTCTTCCCAAAGCAGAACCCCCCTCTGCCCCCCTCTTGCTCAGGGTCCTCCAATAGGCCCTTGTCTATCCACCCTCTGGGGTGGGGCACATTTGGTCTGTTTCAAATCCAAGGGAAGACTATTCCTTCTCTCTTCCTCTCATGTTTCCCACGGAGCTAAGACTCTGACCCCCTACCCCTACCCTATTGAGAATGGAGGTGATTCCTAAGTCATGGACCAGCCTCCTGGCCTGGTCCTGGCTTCAAATCTCCTCCCCTACTCCATCCTCGGACTGCAGGAGGCCACACTATTCCCCACTCGGACTCAAGAACAAGGCTGGGTCCACTGGCTGGTCAGCAGGGGAGCACCATCTGTTTAAAGCCCCCTGAAGACTGTCAGGGACCCAGGAGCCACGGCCTGAAGGGATGGGGCCAATATTCCCGTCCAAACCGGGAGGGAAAACCCGATGTCCAGGATTCTCATCAGCTGCTTCGTGGCCTACATCTGTTCTCCTCAACCCGACATCCCCTAGTCCTCTGGTCGCCGGACCACAGGATCAAAAGTCAAAGGAGCTTCTCCGAGTTGCCCAATGTGTGTATGTGGCGGTGGGGGCGGGGAGGGGGAGGGAGGCGGAGCCAGTTCAGCACGAGGAAGGTTAACCCCGCGCCGCCGGGGAATCTCGGCGTCTACAGCAGCCAAGCGTGGAGCAGTTTTGAGGGGGAAATTCCCCCTCTTCTGGGGCACCATGAGGTCTATATCTCGGGCTCGCTCACCCCCCAGTTCCTGGACAGGAACCTTCATGGGAATAAAGGACAGGGGTTTGTCAAGGACCCACCGGCATCAACCTTCCAGGGAGGGGCAGCTACTTCCCCCCACACACGCAGCGGGCGGGAGGACACCACCTTGCCCTCCTTCCCCGGAGTTTACAGTCCCGGGCGATGGAAGGAGTGTCCCCAGGCGGGAGGTAGGGGTGCTGGGCCTGTGCCCATTCCAGATTCATCTGAGATTCGAAACTGCCCAGACCCAGTAGCACCAGCGACCAACACCAGCTGAAACAGCTTCCGGGGGACCGTCCACCCTGCCCAGGGGAGGGTCCTCAGATGCCCCGGGCTCACCCCCCACCCGCCACTCACACACACTGGGAGTCCGAGGCGCCCCCACCCTCCCTTCCTCGGAGGCATCCCCTCACCTTGGCAACCTCTCTGCTGTCTTCTCCCTCTCTCGGCAGGCACTGCAAGGCCATGGGTCTGTAGCTCTGTCCAGCGAGTTCAGGGCTGGCCTTGCTAGCACCCGCCCTCCACCACCACCACTACCAAAAGGAAAACACACACATACACACACACACACACACACACACACACACACGCACACTCACTCCTCTCCCCCTCGTCCTTCCTCCTCAGTGTAAGCAGTGGCTGCCCCAGCCTGCTGTTTCCGGCTTCTCTGTCTACCCAGGTCCCTCCCTGGAGCTCTGACGACACAGAGAAGAGAAAGTAGGCTGGAGGAGGAAGAGGAAGAAAGTGGGTGAGTTGTGTGTACCTCCTGTGCCAAGCGGGGGGGAGACAGGACTGGGGCTTGGGGCCCTTGGGCCTGGCTGGAGGGGAGACTGACCCCCCACTTCCTCTGTTGCCTCACAAGTGATAAACTTTTCTCAAGAAAGTCACCTAATATCAAGCAGAGACATGCCGCCCCAAACTGCCTCTCCCGTACCCAGACTTTCACAGGGGCTCCAGCGCTGGGGTTCACGAGGGACGGGGCGCCCCGGCGCCTCTGGAAAAGCCAGTCCCTCTGGGCTCTGCACTCCCTCCAGTGGAGGACCCTGAAGAACAGCAGGGGAGCTGGCGCTGGAAGGAACGCCTAGGTCCCCCTCCCTTTCTGCCAGGGAACGCCTTAGCGGTCGCGTGACCACTGATGGGAGGAAATGGGGGTGGGGGTGGGGAGAAGAGACCCCAAGCTCAGAATTCTGGAAAACTCCAGAGTGCCTCCGACTGCCCCCTCCTCACAGGGCGCTACTCCTCAGACCCTGGTGGGAGTGGGCGTGGGCTGGAGTTGGTGCCTGCAGATTCCCAAGGGACAAGTTGGAATACGAATCTGCTGTGCAGCCTCGTGAAGTTCCTGTTTCTGGAGTAAACACTGAGACACACCCAGAAACACACACGAACAACTCCCTGGCCACAGACCACACACACATGCTTACACACATGCAGGCAGGTTCACAGACGTGTCAGCGCTCGGAGCCACATACAGCCACAGGAGACACGCACGCAAGGCTGGCTCAGCTTCTGAGTCATCATCAGAAGTAATGGCTAATTTCTGCAGCTTTTGCTGGAGGAGCTGGAGGAGGTCAAGAGACCTAGAGAGGCCTTCACGCCCCCGAACCTGAGAGACAGTGGTGTGTGGAAAGGATGGTCCCTGGGGGATCGGGAGGTGGGAGGAAATTTCTACTCCCCACCTTTCTCCCACACCCCTTCCTAAACAGGGCAGGGCTGAGGGGCCAAAGCTAGGCCTATGCTGCCCCCTGGTGTCTGAACTGATACCTAGAATTCAGCGCCATGTGGATGGGCACGTGAGTTCAAGAACTCAGAATGTGTGGGCTCCGCCAGGCAACAGAGGGTAGCGGTTAAGAACTGGGAGTCTGGAAACAGACTGCTTGGGTTCAGATCTTGCCAACACTGCTAACTGCACAACTCTGGGCAGTTTCATCTTTGTGCTTCAGTGTTGTTATCTGTAAAATGGAACAAATAACACTCTTAACTCATGAGGTTGTAAGAGTAAAATGTGATAAAACATGTGAGGGCTTAGAACAGGGCCTGGCACATAGTAAACATTAGGCAGGCCCTAACCGGTTTGGCTCAGTGGATAGAGCGTCAGCCTGCAGACTGAAGGGTTCCAGGTTCGATTCCGGTCAAGGGCATGTACCTTGGCTGCGGGCACATCTCCAGTAGGGGGTGTGCAGGAGGCAGCTGATTGATGTTTCTCTCTCATCCATGTTTCTAACTTTCTATCCCTCTCCCTTCTTCTCTGTAAAAATCAATAAAAAATATATTTTAAAAAATTAGGCACTATTTGTTTGGCCCAGGATAAACCATACATGAGGAAGGCAGCAGGGCCTCTATCCTACACAGGAGTCCCTGGTTTGGGGGTCATATTAGCTCCACTAAGACAAAGCCTATTGGAGGTATGTGTGTTTATGTGTTTATTGTGTCTGGAAGGCAGTGAATTGAAAAGGAGGGGGAACAGGGGTGGAGTTGGCCAGCAGGGAATCTGTCCTAGGGTCACTGTGTGCACATAGGCACTCACAGCACACATATGTATGTGCTCCCAGCTGCCCACTCTGCCTGCAGACATCCACAGACAGTGGCTGAATTCAGGCTTCATCAACTAAGGGTCTCAGAAGGTCCAAGTTCCCCCGAACTTTTGCAAGAGAAGGGGAGGAGTGAATGCAGTCTCTAACTTTGCCTCCTTTGCGGGGTAGGAAGGTGAGGAGCAAATAGTGGTAGGAAAACAATATTTATTGTCACACTCTCCAACTGATTCCACCGAGGGGGATGCTGTGATGTCATGGAGAGAACCCAGAATTTAGAAGCAAATCGGCTTGGGTCTGATTCCACGTTGTGTCTACCCCTTGAATAGAGACAATAGTTACATCTACTTTACATGGACTGGGCTAGGGAGGTGTTTAGGATGCAAAATTTAAGGAGGCGCTCATCTTCAGGTTGTGCAATTGCAGGGTTGGCTAGACTTTCGGTAATGATACTCCCACTTTCATGACCCTGAGAGTGAGTGCCATACTTGCCACACCCTCCTCCAGTCCTACCATCCATCAAGTGGCTATTTAGATTGCACAAAACAGAGCATAGGAAAAAAGTTTGTGGTCAGTTGCAACCCAACTGAGTCACAAAATCAATTTGGTGAGTGTATTAATTTGCTGGGGCTGCCATCACAGAACACCACAAACGGGGTGGCTGACATGACAGAAATTTATGGTCTCACAGCACTAGAGGCTGCAAGTCCACGCTCCAGGTGTTGGGAAGGTTGGTCTCTTCAGAGGGCAGTGAGAGAGAACCTGCTCCAGGTCTCTCCCCTGGGCTTGTAGATGGCCGTCTTCATGTTCCCGTGGTGCTCTCCCTGTATGTGAGGGTATCTCCAAATTTCCTGTTTGCTAAGGACACCAGTTGGATTGGATTAGGACCCAACCTACTGACCTCATTTCAGTGTGATTACTTCTGTAAAGACTGTATCTCCAAATAAGGTCACATCCTGAGGTACTTGGGGTACTTCATAAGAATATGAATTTTCAAGGGACGTAGGAATTCAACATATTAACATATGAATGTTCAAGAGACACAGTTCAGTCCATAACAGTTAACATTGATGACCACCACTTTTTAAAAAAACAAAGTAGAATAGAATAGAAAATACCAGAATGTATCACACAAAGACTTAAGGATAAGTAGTGTTTACTACACTTGATCTTAGCCAAAAGGCCGAGAAGCGATGAGGATACGTAGTGTTTAGTGAAACTTGTTTGTTTTATAGATGCATCTGAGTTCTAGGTCTTGATGTAAAAGACATTTCAGTGCAGGTCGTGATTTTCCTTTTTAAGCATCATTTGGATTTTGGTTACCACCACAAATCGCTTTGCATTGCTTTTTATTTTTATTTTGTTTATTTTTTTAAAAAAATATTTTTATTGAATTGAGAGAGGAAGGGAGAGGGAGAGAAGGATAGAAACATCGATGATGAGAAAGAATCATTGTTTGACTGCCTCCTGCATGCTCTACACTGGGGATCGAGCCTGCAACTGGGGCATGTGCCCTTGACCGGAATCAGGCTGATGCTCTATCCACTGAGCCAAACCTAGTAGGGCTGCATTGCTTTTTAATTATTTTATAGGTACATTCTTCTCTGACAAGAACATAAGCTCCTGGAGGACGGGATCATCTCATCTTGTAAACGCTGCTGTGTAGCTAGAGAAGACAACATTTTTTCTTGCCAGTAAAAACAAGGACTACAGTTTAGTGAGTGTTTGCTGTGTACCTGGCACGGGGCTGGATGTTTTACATACACTCTCTTACATAAGGACTAAACATAATGGTGATGGCAGGAGTTCAGTACATTACACAGACAACACGAGTGGGTGCCATGTTCAGGTGCGCTGGACAGCAGGCTGGGGTGTGTGGAGGACTGAGGGATAAAAGGAAAAGGTCACAGAAGAAATGTGGGAAGCGGCGGTGGGCCCTTAGCCAGTTCTGTCTCTCAGACTTTGGCCATTGTCCCAAAATTTCCAGCCACCTCAATACCAACCCACCACCTAGATTAGAGGAAACAGAGGCCCTCAGTTGGAAACTCCCTCCGCTTCCGGCTCCCGACCAACAGACATGCTCATCAGCACCTGTGCCCTCCCTCAGGCTCAGAGGAGAGGATACGCCTGCCCCTGCCCAAGGCATGCTCCTCCGCCTGTGCTCAGGGCCCCTCCCTTCTGCTTCCCCAAGCACAGTTCCATTCACTGTGTCCTCGCTCCTCCAAATCTGCAACGTCTCATTTCTAATTATTACGGCATTTTACCTTCAGCATTTAAACATGTTCAAATCTCTCCCACCTTAAAAAAAATAAAAGTATAGTAAGCAAATAGAACAAATCTGCCCAGAATCTATGTCCAGTTGATTCAACAAAAATTTGTTCGGTGTCTGTTCGTAGGCTCTTAAAGCTGAGAGGGGGAGTCCATTAGTTAACAGCGATACTATAGGATAGTCTGGGCTATGACTCTAGTGAAGCACAGGGTGCCGTGGGAGTACATAGGAGGGGCACCTAGACTAAGTAGAGAATAGGAGAAACCAGGAAGGTCTTCCTGGAGGAGGTGATGCCCCAACTAAATCTTGAAGGAAAATAGGAGTTATTTAGGCAAAGAACAAGAGAAGAGTTAAACCAGGAAGATGATTTAGCATATGCAAAGGCATGGATACTATGGGAGCACAGTACCTTCTGGAAATGGGTAGTAGCCGGGAATGGGGAGCAGTAGAGGACTTAGGGTAGGTGAGTAAGATGATGAGATTTAGTAGAGAGACCTCCCTAGCTGTAATGTAGAGGAGGATTTAAAGTGTAAGTCTGAAGCCAGGAGGACAATTCAGATGGAGGAGACCATTTAGTGAAGGACTAGAGGTGAAGCAGTGAGGAACAGAGGCTGGTTTAAGAAGAGAAGTAAAGACATGTGGGGCCAGTGGGTAAGGAAAGAATAGAGTCAAGGAACTAGAAGTATCCATAGACCTAAAGACCAGTCTTCCTGGGAGCGAGGGAGAGAAAGATCCGGAGGGCTGGAATGTCGTGGTCAGAGACAAGGGGCTAAGACTTCAGCCCAGTTTCCTTGCCAGGGTGTGGTATAGGTTGTGGCTACTGGAGTGAGTGGCTATGGTAATGTCATTAGAGTTGAGGAGAGCAAGGAACCAAGAAGCCAGTGGAGGTGAGTCATTAGAGCTGAGGAGGGCAAGGAGCCAAGAGGCCAGGGTGCTGCTGGACTACCTGCATGAACATTAAAGCCACCTGGCTTTTGCAAAAGACCTGAAGATAGACAGGAAGACAGTGAGTCAGATGCCATAGTCTTCAAGGAGCGTGGGAAAGGGACCAGGCCATCATGATAGCAAAAATAATAACTAGGATTTAGTGAGGGTTTATGTATTACTTCAACTCCTACTTTAAAAACATCTTAAGCCCTAGCGAGTTTGGCTCAGTGGATAGAGCATCAGCCTGTGGACTGAAGGGTCCTGGGTTCAATTCCAGTCAAGGGCACATGCCTGGATTGTGGGCTCGATCCCCAGTTGGGGGCGTGCAGGAGGCAGCCGATCAATGATTCAATGATTCTCTCTCATCATTGATGTTTCTATCTCTCCCTCTCCCTTCCTCTCTGAAATCAATAAAAATATTTTAAAAAACATCTTAAGCTCTGTATATTTTATCCTACAACACTGTGAGGTAGAACTATGTGCCCAACACAGTAGCCACTAACCATATGTGGCTGGTTAATTTAAAAATTAAATTTCTCAGATGCACTAGCCACATTTCAAATGATTAATAGTCATCTATGGCTAATGGCTACTGTATTAGCACAGACATGGGGCATTTCCATCATCACAGAAAGTCCTATTGGATAGCACCAAGCGCCCTCATTTTACAGATGAGTAGATGGCAGTGTGGAAAGGTTAAGTAACCCGCCCGAGGCCCAAGCGCTGGCAAGTAAGCTGGGATTGAATTCCAGTTAGTCTGGCACAAACACCGTTGCCCTTAAGCTGCATGCTACACATATTCTTAATGGAAGGGGAAATAGCTGGCCCTTATAAAGGAAGAGGAATTTATGGTATATGACTATCTGTGAAAGCACCGATAGAGCCTGCTTAGCAGCAAGCCTTATAGGCAAAGTCTGGATTCTGTGCAGGTGTTCCCTTCCCATGCATTCGGGGGAGGAATCTCTTTGGTCTAGCCAATCACAGTATTTCCATACCCTCGGCCAATAGGACCTTAGGGGGCTCTTGGGAAAGATTTTGTTCTTCTTCAATGGCAAGTCCATACGTGAGACTGGAATAGCTGCAACCATGTGGCAACTCTGAAGAGAGATACCATCAACCTTTGGGGATAGAATAACAGTGCAAAGAGGTAAAAAACAAAAAAACAAAACAAAACAAAACTCTCAATGAGTCAACCAGTCCTCAGCCTGCTCCAGACCTCCTCATTTGTTCAATCTGCTTTAAGCATGTCTTCTGTTACTTGCTGCTAGATGCATCCTTAACTGAGATCTTTTTAAAAAAATATATATTTTTATTGATTTCAAAGAGGAAGGGAGAGGGAGAGAGAGAAACATCAATGATGAAAGAGAATCATTATTGATCGGCTGCCTCCTGCACACCCCCTACTGGGGATCAAACCCACAACCCCAGGCAATGTGCCCTGACCAGGAATTGAGCCGTGACCTCCTGGTTCATAGATTGACGCTCAACCACTGAGCCACGTCAGCTGGGCCTTCACTGAGATCTTGGTGGTGTCATACTAACTAAGAAATGGAGAGCCCAGAGTGGGATGACTGCCCATGATCCCACCACCACTCGTTTTGTGGACTTGGAGGAATAAGAGACATATATCTCTTTAAAGGAAGAGAGTCCTCAGACAAGCAAAGAGGAGCAAGGACAATCTGAACTGAAGGTGGCCCAGAGCTTTGTGCAAGGATGGGGGTGGAAAGCAGTACAAGGGTGGTCAGGAAGAGGAAGCTCTGGGCTGAGTGGAGAAGGGTAGACGCCCATTGAAGCCTGCCAAGGACGACAGGATGTGAGCAGTGGCGGGGTCAGCTGATCTCAAGGTTCCAAATGAAGTCCTGGAGCTGTCAGAGGCTGACTGTGGTCAACAGACCTACATCTCACAGAAGGACAAGTAGCAGCCCCGGTGGGTGGGCAAAGTCAAACATCTCTGAATGGTGCCAGCTGTGGTCAGGATTGAGCCTCTCCAAGGAAATTCCAGCCCTCTAACTTGCACTGTAATTACCTCTCTCTCTCTCTCTCTCTCTCTCTCTCTCTCTCTCTCTCTCTCTCTCTCCTTCTCTCCAGCCAAGCTTTTGGGAAAGTTATTCACGCTCACTGTCTTCCCTCCCTCACCTCCTCAGTACACTGCCAGCTGGCCATTGTCTCTACCGGTCCAATGAAACTGTATGGCCCATGTCACATATGCCCTCCTAGGTGTCAAGAATGATGCCTGCTCCAGGCCTTCTCTTGATAAACTCTCACCAAAACTCCACACTGTCAGCCACTCCTGAGTAAGTTCTACCTCCATTGGTTTTCATGATTCCTCTCTCCTGGTCTTCCTCCCACCTCTCAGGGTGCTCCTTCTCAGTCTCCTGTCTTCACAGGCGATTCTTCCTGTGTTATCTTATAAAGCAATGTAATATGGTGGTTAAAACCATGGCCTCTGGTGTCAGCCCACCCGGGTTCAAATCCCTGCCCTACCACTTGCACGTAGCAATGAGAGGACTATGCCCTCTCACCAGTCCAAGGCTTGAACCTGTCCAAAACACTGTAGCAGCTCCCCACAATAAAGTTTTAATTCTGTTTCTTTGTTACTAATGTTGTGGCCCCACCCCATAACAAAGAAACAAAGGAAAATTTCCCCATCGAATTTCTTAATAGTATTATTCCTTTGGGAATGCCGTGTCATAAATTAAAATTGAAAGTGGGTGCAATCGTCATGCTACTGAGAAATCTCAATAGTAAATGGGGTATTTGTAATGGTACTAGATTTATTATCAAAAGATTACGACCTAACATTATCAAAGCTGAAGTATTAACAGGATCTGCAAAGGGAGAGGCTGTTGTGATTCCAAGAATTAATTTGTCCCCATCTGACACTGGCCTCCCATTTAAATTGATTCGACGATGGTTTCCCGTGATGCCAGCATTTGTGATGATTATTAATAAATCACAAGGACAGGAGGAGGAAACCAAGATGGCGGCATAGGTTAACACCGGAGTTTGCTGCCTCGAACAACCACTTCAAAAATACAACTAAGCCGAAACCGGTTTGGCTCAGTGGATAGAGCGTTGGCCTGCGGACTGAAGGGTCCCGGGTTCGATTCCGGTCAAGGGCATGTACCTGGGTTGCAGGCACATCCCCGGTGGGAGATGTACAGGAGGCAGCTGATCAATGTTTCTCTCTCATCGATGGTTCTAACTCTCTATCTCTCTCCCTTCCTCTCTGTAAAAAATCAATAAAATAATTTAAAAAAAATACAACTAAAAGATGGAACAGACATCATCCAGAACCACAGGAAGGCTGGCTGAGTGGAAGTTCTACAACTAGGAGGAAAGAGAATAGCATACCTAGACTCAGAGGAGGCGCAGTGCTGAAGTGAAATACTAAGGTGTGGAGTGCATGTGGAGCAGGCTGGTGGCGGAGGGCGCGGTTGTTGTTTTCAATCGGGAGGGAGTCTCAGACTCTGAGCTCCAGATCCGGGCGAGTCTCTAGGGACCCAGACTCAAACG